GGAGCGTAGGCTCTAGGTGCGTGGTCTTCAATAGTTGTGGCACGCAGGCTCAGTAGTTGTGGCTCGTGGGCTCTAGAGCTGGCAGGCTCAATAGTTGTGGCGTACAGGCTTAGTTGCTCCACGGCATGTGGGTCTTCCCGGACCAGGGCTTGAACCCAAGTCCCCCGCATTGGCAGGCAGAGTTCCAACCACTGTGCCACAAGGGAAGTCCCAGTACCTTTTTTTTAGATTCCTATATATGCATAAGTATACGGTATTTGTTTTTCTCTATCTGACTTACTTCACTCTGTATGACAGACTCTAGGTGCACCCACCTCACTACAAATAACTCAATTTCATTCCTTTTTATGGCTGAGTAATATTCCATTGTATATATGTAACACATCTTCTTTATCCATTCATCTGTCGATGGACATTTATGTTGCTTCCATGTCCTGGCTATTGTAAATAGTGCTGCAATGAACATTGTGGTACATGACTCTTTTTGAATTATGGTTTTCTCAGGGTATATGCCCAGTAGTGGGATTGCTGGGTCGTATGGTAGTTCCAATTTTAGTTTTTTAAGGAACCTCCATACTGTTCTCCATAGTGGCTGTATCAATTTACATTCCCACCAATAGTGCAGGAGGGTTCCCTTTTCTCCACACCCTCTCCAGCATTTATTGTTTGTAGATTTTTTGATGATGGCCATTCTGACCAGTGTGACGTGATATCTCATTGTGATTTTGATTTGCATTTCTCTAATGATTAGTGATGCTGAGCATCTTTTCATGTGTTTGTTGGCAATCTGTATGTCTTCTTTGGACAAATGTCTATTTAAGTCTTCTGCCCATTTTTGGACTGGGTTGTAAGACACTCAGAACTTAGTTCTCCTACCAAGAAAATAGGAGTACTCTCATCAAATTCACTTTATTAATGATTTAACAAGAAAAAAAGAAATAAAATAATACCCAAACTCACAATCTTATAATATTCTTTGTCTTTACATTATTGCCACAGGGCTTAGCATGTAGTAGGTATGCAATAAAAACTTACGGAATTGAATTAGAAAGGTAAAATGGGAGAATATGTAAAATGCTCTCCAAGTTTCTTTAGGGCTAATATAATTTTATTTGCTTAGCTCAAAATATACTCTTTCTGGGGAGCATGACTCTTGATAGCCAGAAAGTGAGTTATTTTTGTTTTCCTAATGCTTTTATGACACTCTTTTTTAAGAGTTTATTTAATTCTTTAAGTTAGAGAATGAAATGGTTCATTCTGCTTAGATTGGACTTTTGATGATGCTACAGATATATAATTATTCCTTTCACAAAATTTCACCAAGAATCTTAGCACATGCCTTCTCTTATAAAGCTTTGCAGAAAGTTACATGATACTTCTTTTGTGTCCTTTGAGTCTAGCTTTTTTGATAAATTGTTTGCAAAAATGGCCCGGAATTCTTCCTCTTTCTATACACATGCCCTTTTGTGATGTGACTTTGCAGCAGCTGCCCTCAAGAGGTGGTATCAGTTTCTCTACCACTTGAATCTGGGCTTGCTCTGCCAGTGGGACATTAGCACATGTGATGCAAGTAGAACCTTCAAAAATATAGCACACGGGACCCTCCCTGGCTGCTCTTGGTAACCCTGTTACTACTACTATGTGGATAAGCTCAGGCTTACTTGCTGGATGATGAGTAACATATGACCAGTTACTTTTTTTGCTGCTGGCAGTAGACAGGCAACCACAAGACATGCCAATGAGGCTATTGTCAGCTAACTGACACATGATTGGGTCTGAGCAACAACATGTGGACCAGAGATGAATGGTGTCAGCTGAGCCTAACCCAAATTGCTAATCCACAGAACTGTGAGCGAATAAATGTTTTAAGTGCTAAGTTTGGGACAGAAAAATCTAACTGATATAGCTCATATCCCTATTTGTTTATATTCTGTGAACCCCAAAGTGTATTTTCTTTTTGCTTCTCTTTTCTCCAAAACACACACTGTGGTAGAGACATAAGGCTTCTGATCATGAGTGCCAACGTATGGCAGGGGGGTAGTTTCCCCCCACACCACCAAACAATTCTCTGACACCAGCTGGGTGTCCTACAATTCAACTGAATTCTGACACCACTACTTGGAGACAGCATCAAATTCCACAGATTAAGGGCTCAGTCCCACAGGACTGTCCTCCACCTCAGATGCCACTTGCAAATCCAGGTTGTTACTTGTACTTCTGACCAACTGGCTATAAACCAGAAGTTCTCATGACTTCATCCATGGGTTCAATAAATTTGTTCGAGTGGTTTGCAGAACTCAGGAAACCCATTCACTCACTAGATGACCAGATTATTACAAAGGATATTAAAGGATACAAATCAATAGCCAAATGAAGAGATACTTAGGGCGAGGTACCAAACAAAGGAGTTGCCTCCCGCGGAGTTTGGGCTCGGCATAGTGGCATGTGGAATGTTCTGATTCACCAACGTGGAAGCTTTCTGAACTGCTTGCTTTTGAGTTTTCACGGAGGCTTCATTACATAGACGTGATTGATTAAATCATTGCCCATTGGTAGTTGATTCAATCTCCAGCTCCTTTCCTGTCCCCAGAAATTAGAGGGGGTGGGACAGAAAGTTCCACCCCTTTATCTAAGGTTGGTTCCCCTGGCAACCAGCCCCCATCTTTAGGTGCTTTGTAAAAGTCACCTTGTTAACATAAACCCAGTTGTGGTGAAAAGGGGCTTGTTATGAACAACAAGACACCCATTTCACCTTTATGGCTCTGAAGTGATTTTAGGAAGAGGACAAGAGACCAAAGATACTCCCATTGCTCTTATAGCTCAGGAAATTCCAAGGCTTTTGGGAGCTGTGAGCCAGGAACCATGGACAAAGATCAAATACATCAGAGAAATGTCTTTTGATCATCTGAGTAATATAGATATATATTTCTTTTATCACAGTGTTGTAGACAGCTAGTCCCCCAACATCCACTTTTTTCTTTTTCTTTATTAATAGACCTCCCCACTTCCTCTACCTCCTCATATTTGAGTTTTATCTGGGCACACAGCTGTCCAGCTTAGACTAAATTTCCCAGCTTCTCTTGTGGCTAAGGTGTGGTCACGTGACGAAGTTTTGTCCAGTGGGCTGTGAGTGGGAGAAATGTGTGGTTAGGAAGCTGCTTGTTCTTCACTCTCTCTTCCTTCCTCTCATTTTCCCCTCCTCGTTTTCTCAGGCTGGCATATTGAGTCACCTTAGACCCAGAGATGGAAGCCACATGTTAAGGGTAGCAGAGATAACCCACAGCTCAGGTCCCAGAATGACTTTGCAAATCAGATCTAGTTACCCATCCTGAACCACTTGCCTACCGCTGGTGTGTTACGTGAGAGAAAAATAAACTCCCATGTTAAGTATGCCACTATATTTTCAGGTCTCTTTATTATAGCAGCTTGACTTTTACCCTAACTCATGCTTAACATTGCAGACCCAAACACATAAACACACACTGCCTAATACAGTACTTAGAACTCAGGAGCTCAGTAAATGCTAGATTCATGCACTTATTCAATAACAGTGACTGAGCTCCTATTGTGTATTAGGCAGAAAGTTGCACAGGTAATTGCTTTTTTTTTTTTTCTGGTCGGGAGCTAACAAATGAGAAGGGAAAGATAGAAAAAAATTAACATAAAAGGGAAATTAAAGGTGACGAGAACTGTAACAGAGGACTCTGTCAGGGGTGGTATCCAGAGAAAATGAAAGGATTTGGACATCTCTTAAAAGTTTGCCGCAGTAGGATGAAACACAAATCATGAAACGAAGCATCCATTCAACACAACTGTACAATTTCTTTCACAGAGTTTGGAGCCTCCTCTCACTTGTTTCTGGGTCACTGACCTTGAGCTGGGGCGGGGGTAGGGGATGGCTACTGGCTTACTGTTTTCTCACTTCAGACTTCCAACACTAGCTTTTCAAAGGGTTTTGTGTGTCGGGTGTAGGGGTGGCAGTAGGGACGAAAGTTAGGTTTAGAGGATTACTGACAATCCTGTAATAACTTTTGAAATAGCTTTTCAGATCAATTCCCATTCATTTCCAACTTTACAGAGAAAAGGGGACCAGGGAAGGATCAACAGTTATGAGAAAAACTAAGGAAAACACTTCACTCACCACAACTGGAAATGGGAGATATCTCTTTATTCTCATATCCCATTTTCTATTCCCCAACATCTCCTGTGGTTTATTTGTGTTTTCCTCCTATCATCCACAATGATTTTTATTTTATATTGAGAATATCCTGGGAAGAAGATACTAAGCGAGAAATCACTGCAAAAGTTCCAGAAGAGAACATATATAATATCTTGGGTGTTAACTAAGAGAAGCTAAGCATGAAGAAGAAATTGTGTCAAATTAGGTAGTCCTGTCTGTTTTGTCTAATTGCACAAAATCTCCTGTCATGCTCATTTGCAGTAGTGTTGTTTTTTATTTTGAGTTATAATGGCCTTGTTGTTTATGAATAACTTGCCCAAATGTGGCCTACATTTTAAAAATACCTTTCATTTTCAGGATGTAGGGTATATGCCTTAATACAAATCATTCATCCTCTGTAAGCCTCAGTTTCCTCATCTGTAAAATAACTAGATGATGTCTGAAATCTCCTTTGGGCCCCAAATTTCACACTTTGAATTCCCTTATAAACGTTGATTAAAGTCTGGTGACAACTGTAGCTACAATGACAATAGAATAATGAAGCATATTAACATTAGTGTTAATGCAGTAATCAGCTGTGTTTTGTTCCATATGGCAATTTATTTCAACAATTAAGCCAAACTCCATCTGTTTTGGCATACACAATTTTTCAGACGGGTTCCTGAACCACATCTCTGGAAATCATTTCATGTTTTTCAAATATTGCTACCATCAATAAATGACAACTGTGCAGAATCTTTCTGATTAAAAAAAAAAAATCACTGATGCCAAAGCCCATCTTATTTGACAAAGCGATTGTTTTGCTTATTTGACCTTACAGATGTGTTGCACGGTCTAATCAATAGACCCAGAAAAGGAAGATAGATCTCGGTGTCAGCATGGAGGGAACATGCATGGGGTGTTGGATTCTAGATCAGGTAAAGCAAACCTCAACACTGTCTGCAGTGGATTTCAATTTTTCTGACCTGAGGATCCTGTTGTGATAGGATGGGCCTCAGTCTGTGACAGAGACAAGACAAATGGTACATTCCACACATCTGGCAGGGGTGCCTTTCTTTGGCTTGGGTTGAGCTGCATTGACAGAATAGCAATAGGGAACATTTGTCTTTATCTTTATAACACTTGACAAGAGGCATGATTACTGCTGTAAGGGTATCAAAATAAAGAAAAAATGAGCTGTCCAAGAGCCCTGTTATTTATCACATTCAGAAACGCTAACCCAGACTAGCAGGATAGAAATTCCTTGTCAAATTGCCTCTAAAAATCATATTTTCCTCCCAAGACAGTATGTGAAACCCATGGATCTCACCTGTGTTCCCCATCCCCTGTTTTTGCAAGTTGGGGACAGTCCCCTCCTGGCCCAAGCTGTCCCTCCATAGCCTGGGAGTTGCCTCCATGTGGCTCATTGCATGTCCCAGCCTGACAATATGCACACCATTCCCTGCATGTACAGGAAAAACAGGGAAAAAAAAAAAAACCCTGCTAGCTGGCAGCTTATTAACAAATATTGAATGTATACAGCAAAAATTCGATTTATTCTGCAGCAAGTGTTAGGATGTCTCCAGGCAAATTAGAGCCAGAGATGACTTTGTTCAACCCCTTTATTTATTTTCCCGTTCCTTGTTTCCTAATTAGGCAGGCTTTCTTCTGCTTCACAAACACACTCTCTGCCTAAATCATTGCAGGTCTATTGAATCCTGAGCACAATGGGCTTATACATTCATATTAATACCTTGATAAGGAGGTATAATCCACCCTTTTGCATAAAGCCGCCAAATAACTTCAAGAATGATTCTAAATGCCTTTATGACACAGTATTTTCCTAGTCTGATTGTGGGGTCCTGCATGTGCTATTGCCAATGAATTTTCCAAAGAAGTTGTGAACAGTAGATGGGTCTAAGAAGTGTTTGCTTTGAAAGGCCACCTCCTTCAGTGTATGGCGCCGAAGTCTTTTTTTCTTTTTTCTTCGAAGTGTTCTCTTTCAGCAGGCAGTTGCTCACAATTCCTCATGAAGAGCAATTCAAGAAATCAATGGCCATGTCCTAAAGTTTGTTTGGAATTCAACATTTTATTTGGACTTAGCATTCTTTTGCAGGGTTTAGAGCAGTTCTCAACGTTGGCTGTCCATTAGAATCATATGAGGAGCTTTAAAAAAATGTTGATGCCCAAACCCCTTCCCAAACCAATTGAATTAGAGTATCAGAGGGTGGGACCAGGGCACTGGCATTTCTAAAAGGCTCTCCAGGTGATTCTAATGGGCAGCAAAGTTTAAAAGCCATTGGTTTGTAGGGTTTTTATCATTAGAATATATCTAGAGAAATCTTGTTCAGTCATTCAGTAAGTATTTGAATGACTACTATCCATTAGGAAAAAGACTATGCACCTTTATGTCTTGGGGGTTCAAAGACATAAAGGAATTTCTATGTTCTCAAATTAGCTGGTAAGTTAATAGAGGCCATGAGGTTGTCATTCTTTCCACACATATTGATCCTATTATGTGTTACAAGCACTGGGGAGTCAGCCGAATCCAAGACAGACAAGGTCTCTGCTCTCATTGAGCTTGCATTCCAGTAAACACATTTTAAAAATAGGTACTGATGAGGGAATCCCCTGGTGGTCCAGTGGTTAGAATTTGGCGCTTTCACTGCCAGGGCTGGGGTTCAATCCCTGGTCAGAGAACTAATATCCCATAAGCTTCACTGCATGGCCAAAAAAAAAAAAGTACTGGTGAGCTCTATAAAGAAGTGAATACAGAGGTAATATGATAGAAAGTGGCTGGGACAGGGGGAGAGTTCTGGGATGCTTCTCTGAGCAGCAGGCCTGAATGATGTGAAAAAAACAGTCAAATGAAGATCTTGAGGGATTGAATCCCGGGCAGAAGGAACACCAGTGCCAAAGTCTTGAGGTAGGAGCTAGCAACTGCATGGAGCAGAAAGAAGCCAAAGTCCTCAGAGGAGGTAAGAGTCAGAGATGAGGTTAGAGGTAGATAGGGGGCGTGAACATGCTGCACAAAGGTAACCTTACAGAGAGAAGAAAGCAGGCAAGAGTTGGAGGTGCAGATTAATGGTTCTGAGCATTAAGAGAGAAAGGACTATTGCTTTCATAGGGCCATTGGGTGTTCATAGAAAAGGTGGTTTTGAATTGTACCTTGAAGGAGATTGCCTGAGAAGCTGGAGGGGAAAAGCATTTAAAATAGAGGTATTTCTCTGTAAAGACATAGAAGGTTTGACAGTCTAGAGTATGAACAGAGAATGTCCAGCTTGACTGGAATGGATACATGAAGCAGTCATGGGAGCTTAGAAGTTGGGATAGTAAAGGACTTTGTATGTTGAGAGCTTGGACTTTATGCTAAAGACAGATGGAAACCCAAATATATTTTATGCTTGTTTCTTCATCCTTATATCTGGCCAATTCCTGCCTCGCTCCTTGTATCCCAGCAACTCCAAACTTCTCCTAAGCACCCCACATCCCATACATACATACTTACAGCACCATGCCAGTTGGGTCTTTGTGATTGTCATGCCCTCTGTTCAGAATATTTTTCCCATACCCTTGGGCTCCTCCTTGTCAGCTAGTCAATCTGCTGCTCAGTTGTTGAGTTAGCCACAGTTCCTTCAGGAAGGTGTCTCCGACCTTCCTTGTTGACTCCATAAAATGAGAGGCATATTTCCTTAAGGGCACTTGCCATGCTGGGTCACTCATTCTTGAGTGCTAGAAAGCAGCTCTTTATAGAGTGTTAGGTACTGTTCTGGGTGCTTGCGTTACACTCTAATTGATAGATGGGCAAGAAACACTGAACGTAACAAATAAGCAAATTATATAGTTTGTTATAAGATAGTAAGTATGGTAGGAAAAAGTAGTTCAGGATATGGGTGTGGTGCAGGAGGGTAGATTAAAAGGTCAGTAGGTCTAATGGAGAAAGCAAAATCTGAGCAGAGATTTAGATTGAACAACTATTCCAGTTTGCGTGAGATGGAGTCGTTTCCTGGGATGCAGGATTTCTAGTACTGAAACTAGGATAGTCCTGGGCAAACCAGGATGGTTGGTCCCTCTGGAACAGTTTGTTAATATTTGTCCTATCTGCTAGTTTTACACAGCTTGAGGATAGGTTCTATAGAGGCAGCGTAACGTAGCTTAGATTACAGGCTTTGGAGTCAGACTGGCTGGATTCAAACTATGGCTCAGCCATTTGTTAACATTGTGACCTTGGACTAATAAGATTTTTAACCTCCCTGAGATTTTGCTTCTTCATATATGAAATGGAAGTAGCTGGTACAGAATAAACAGTCAATAAGTGTTGCTGTTATTATTATTCATAGTGCCTAGCATGGTCCTGGGGGGTAGTTACTCCTCAATAGATGTTTATTGAAGGAACAGATGAATAAATGACAATCTACCATGTACCAGGCACTGGGCTAATCTCTGGACGTGCAAAAATGAATAAGGCATGATTTCTGCCTTCAAGAAGATCACAATCCAGTAGGGGAGACAAACATGCAAACATCATATTTTGTCATACAACTGCGGTCTTTCTCCACTGTTGCAATCCTTCCATGATGCACTCTTGTTTTTTTTTTTGTAGGGCATATAACCTTCTAATATACTACATAATATTCTTTTTTTTCCTACATAATACTCTTATGTGTCACAATTATTCCCACTGGACTGCAGCTTCTTAAAGGCAGGGACCTTGGTTTTGCTCATTGAGATGTCCCAAGTGCCTGGAAGAGTACCTGGCACCAAGAAGATGCTCAGTAATGTTTGGTGACTTAATGAATGGAAGTTCCGTTTCATGTGATAAGAGCTTTAAAGAGGTATGTACAAGGTGTGGATGATTCCTTCTTTTGGACAGAGTCAGGGAAGATTCCACAGACAATGTGGTGTTTTATGTTGACCTTGAAGGATTTGTAGTGTTTCTTTAGGAGGAAAAGTAGGATGGTATTTCAGGCTCAGAGGCTAGCAGGAAGGCCTGCTAGAGCCAGGAGAGCCAGGAGAATGCAGGGTCATGGAAGGCAGAGAGAGGGATTAAGGGAGTGACTTTAAGAGAACCTGAAGCAGTTGAACACAGGGGAGGTTTAGGAGACGTTTCAGCATGCTGGTGGAAAATGGATCAAAGGATGAAGCAGTGTGTGGAGTGACAGTGTGGAGACCAGTGTGTAGTTACTCAAGAATATGGCTGAATATGAGCTGGTAACTTGAGAGAGGACGATCTTAATTTTTAGTGAAGTAAGATCACTTGAGCATGTTAGTAGGCTAAGAGGAAATAGCCAACAGAAGAGGCAACAGAATAGACATAGAAGAGGGCACAATTGATGTAGTGAAGTTCTAGAAGGGATAAGAAGGGATGAAATTGAGAGGACAGAGAGAGAGAGAGTTTGCTCTTTCGTTTTCAGAAACTAGAGGTAGGGAGGAGAGGATAGGCATTTTACCACTTTTGTGGAACCCAATAATGATTCATCATGGAAGATGGTATTGTTATAGAAACTGAGTCATTGGCAACTAAATTGGATTCTATTACCTCACTTTATGTTGGATGACAGTTAAGAAATGTGGCAACTTTCTTCAGGGGAAGTGTTTAGAAAAAAATAATTTTTTTAATTGTTAGAAAACACAGAGCATTGTATTGGAATTTTCTGACTAACTCAGAATTTACAAAACACCATTTATGTTTCCAACCATTGTTAAAAATGATTGCAGTTTTTTCTTTCATGAGAATGATAAATTGAAAGAACATTTTGTTTTTAAAATTTTGAAGTGATTCAGAAGCTTCTCCAAATTTTAATCGAATTATCCCGAGTTGCACAGGTAGATACAGATGGTGTAAGGAATTGGGATTAATGGGTATGGAATTTAGGATGTCCATGGAGAGAGCCTTTTTTTCCAAAAAAAACTCCCCAATTCCAGTTGTAGCAAAACTATTTGTGAATCGAGGATTTCAGTTATTTAGCTTTTACTTATTTTTGACTTTTGTATTACATGCGAAAATTAACTTCTAGAAATTAGGAAATGGAAGATTATAATAATGAGTAACCGGGTTTTGCAATTTAAATTTTTGCTTATAAATTTTGTATTGGGTGGGTAATCTTTATATTCTGCCATCAGCCAAAGAAGTGGGTTGTCTCTGAATATAACTATTATATTATCAGACATAATAGTCTTTTCCTCAAGGGCAATTTCTCAAACAAATGATTTCAAAATCAATAAACACCCTGTAGCCTCCTGTTTCAGAATTTACTTATTCATGAGATGCTTATCTCTCTGTAAATTCCCAGGAAGAATTCTTATTGCTTAATCTCACCATATTGGATTGAATGTTTATCAGTTTAAAATTAGTTCTTATTAAATTTTCTTGGCAACTTTGTAATCGTCTCAGGGGTTTCTCCCCTAGAGAGTTATACTTACTTTTAAATCTTACATGAGTAGAAACTCATTTTAACATCCTAAAAATCATTAAACATTGGCCTGCCCATTTATAATGGGTTGCGTTTCAATATAAGTTGGGGCAAAGGCCATATGCCTGCAAACAGTGCTTTTTAAAGAGACTATTTTGTATGGCTGCATGTTTTCATTATTAGACACTGACAGTCTCCATCACTGACAGGCAGTGACAAATTGAAAGCTGAAGCCGGGTAGAGGCTGGTGCAGGTATCTTCTCATTTGTCACCTTGAAGGCTGTTTCTGCTGTCCTTTTGTTTGGTCACAGTATCATTAGTAGCTTCTTTCCAAATCTAGGGATGTGATTGGATGTCTGTGGAATTATATTACCACATACATGGCCAGGTAACTAAAGAGGAATGGATGGTCTGCTCTGACCGCCTGGTTGTGAGAGAGGATGCCTGTTCAAGATGGCGAGCACCTCAGAAATAATGCTCTGCTGTGGGCTCATTTGAATAATCTCTCCACTCATTAAACACAGCTGCAAGGCAAGAGGCAGCAGAGTTCAAAAGGCAAGCCAAGGGAATATATTAGTAATAGAATTATAGTTTAAGCCTTAAGGCATGTTTCCGCAATATTTTTGTACTCCATTAATTACAGCTAGAACACTTTTGTCACTTACTAAAAAAAAAGTTAGAGGAATATTTTGACTAAGAAACCTAAGTAAAATGTATATGTTTTATAAAAGTGTTAGATAGGCTGCAATTAAATTTTAAGACAAACTCTGGAAGTTATCCAACAAGTCATTTCCTTATTGTATAATATAAATCCCTGGTGAGCTGGGATTAGAAACCGTCGGTACAATTTAGCTTCCAGAGTCACTTTACCCTCCACATCGTACACGGGTGTCTTCATACAGCCTTCTGTGTGAGGATAGCTCTGTGTGTGTGTGTGTGTGTGTGTGTGTGTGTGTGTGCGCACGCGCGCGTGTGTGCCTTCACCTGTTGGGTGATTTCTGGTCTAAATCCCAGAATGCCTCTTACTCTTATCCACTCAGAACATCACATTTATTATAGGGCTAGAAAATATTTAATGGAAGAGAGAAAATAGTGGAAATAAAAGGTGGAAACAAAAAGCAAAAGTTTCCTTTGGAAGGCTTCACTGGCAGTTTTTCTCCTGTTTTTGAAGTTCAGCGTCACTTTGGGCTCTTCTAGAGTTGCAGGCTCTCAGATCTTGTTTTTGCTCTTGATATATACCCACCCCTAATCTCATCCACCACACCATCTTGCCTGGATGACTCACCAACATGACTTTTTAAGATATTAGGAATTTGATGTATTTAAATTCTGAATGGTTTAACTCTGAATCCAAGTCTATATCTTCCCTAGGGTCGGGAATTGAATCGAGTTTTATTACCCCAGGGAAGCATGTCCTCTTCCAATACAAAAGCAAATGGCTTTCACATTGTCACAGAGTTTCTATAAGGATTTTAAGGATATATTGAATTCCAAGGGTGGACAACTCCATTCTTTCTCCTCTCCTCACACACCTGCGTCAGTTGACAAAAACTGAGGGTAGATGTAGCACAATCAGAGGATGTAGAGAGATTTTAGTTCTCCGTTTTCTCTCTCATTTCCTTATTAAGCTCTTCCTAAGGCATGATGCAAAGTGGTGAGCCAAAGAGGTTTTTTGTTTTGTTTTTCTAGGCATCTTATTCATCTAGCATTGTTTGAATAAACAGTTCTTCGCAAGTGAATTTTCCTGATAACTGAATATAGCAAAGTTTGAAGAAGAGTAAACTGATAATTTGTCATTTGCTTTCAGGTTGGATCTCTGCCTCTATCTATGTGACTTTGTATGTGTTCAATGATAGGTAAGCAGTGAGTGTGGTAGGCTGAAAAATGGGCCCTCTACATCCTAACCCCTAGAGCCTGTGACTGTTATCTTACTGGGCTCAAAAAAGGGTCTTTATGCATGTGATTAAGTTAAGAATCTTGAGATGGGGAGATAGCCTGGATTTTCCAGTTAGGCCCTAAATGCAATCACATGTATCCTTATATGAGGAAGGCAGTGGAAAACTTGACACACACAGAGGAGAAGCTGGTGTGGAGGTGGAGCAGAAGGATTTCAAGATACTGGCCTTGAAGATTGGAGTGATGTGGCTGCAAGCCAAAGAATGCCAGCAGCCACCAGAAACTGGAAGAGGCAAGGAATGAATTTTTCCCTAGAGTCTCTGGAGGGAGTGTGATCCTGATGACACCTTGATTTTGGCCCAGTGATACTGATTTAGGGCTTTTGGCCTTCAGAACTGTGAGATAATAAATTTCTGTTATTTTAAGCCAATAAGAATGTGGTAATTTTTTATAGCAGCGATAGGAAACAAATAGAGTAAGGAACTCACAGAACATCCAAACATGGGGCCTACCAGCCAGGCTAATGAACCTCCACAGTGTCTAAAAGTTCCATTTTTGCAAATTATCTTCTAGGCTAGTTGGAATAGTCCAGCTGCCTGTTTCAAATTCAGCATTCATAAGCACAAAATATTTAGCAGAAGGAAAATAAGCCTACTGATTTTTTTTTTTTTTTTTTGTGGTACGCGGGCCTCTCATTGCTGTGGCCCCTGCCGTTGCGGAGCACAGGCTCCGGACGCGCAGGCTCAGCGGCCATGGCTCATGGGCCCAGCCGCTCCGCGGCATGAGGGATCTTCCCGGACCAGGGCACGAACCCGTGTCCCCTCCATCGGCAGGCGGACTCTCAACCACTGCGCCACCAGGGAAGGCCAGCCTACTGATTTAAAGGCAATAGACCGAAAGGAAAATATAGACTTGGCACCCATTAGCTCATTCCTTCCTCTTATTTTTGGCCTAAAGGTACAAGTTCTTACAACCTGGATGCTGTTTATCAGAAAGGACGTAGATGGCATTAGATATGATACAAATAACGCTACTTGGCTGAAGATCCGGCTGCTGCTATGTTCCCATTTTTAGTTGCTTGCCATGTTCTTGCAGAAGTCATGAGTTGTTAACTTTGGTCTCAGAGTATCAGGTAGTCTAGCAAGATCCACACCACAGCATTCCCACCCCTAAATGAGGCTCTGATCTCTCACTGATCCCCAGGGAATAAAAGCAGCCCTAGTTTTTAAACGTCCTTTTCATCAAGACTGTTAAGTCAGAAGGGCAGAGATGATCTTTCTCATTGGTCAGTTTTCTCCTAAGACATCTTACTGTTGGCTCCACTAGCTCCATTTCACTTAGGGAGTTAAGCTGCATAAAGAGAATACATCAAAACATCTCTTTGGCTAGACTGATGAAGCTAGAATAATATGTATCTTCTAAGCAAAAAGAATCTGAACCATTGGACTGTTAACATATCTGTGTGGCTTTACTTCTCCTTGGAGAGTAAGAAAGTTGGATCTTTCTCTGGACAACCTCGATAGCAGAGGCAATGCCAATTTTACATTTTATTCTTCAAGTTTGGAAATCATGAACAGAACTTTAAGAACTATTCCATGTATCTCTAAACATAACTACTACCTAGACAGCAAGACCTCACTAGTTTAGAATAATGATGTGAGGGTGGAGGAGGCCATCAGCAGCTGATAATATGGTTGTGGGAAGTTTTTAAAGAAGAGCACTTTGGTGTCAACTAGAATACATACTAGACAGAAAGATATAAATGTGCGCTAGTCAGTGGAGTAAAGCAAGTCGAATTTAAAAATTCTTTCACACTGGATCAAAAAGATAAAAGTCATTTAATATGCAAAAATGTATTATGTCTCTTCAGTGGTCTAATCTAACACATCTGGAAGCAAGTGCATGAAGAAATCTTTCATTTCAAGAGCTTTTGGTTCTATATAACTACTGATTTTTTTTTTTTTTTTTTTTTTTTTTTGCATTACACGGGCCTCTCACTGTTGTGGCCTCTTCCATTGCGGAGCACAGGCTCCGGACACGCAGGCTCAGCGGCCATGGCTCACGGGCCCAGCCGCTCCGCGGCATGTGGGATCCTCCCTGGCCGGGGCACGAACCCGCGTCCCCTGCATCGGCAGGCGGACTCTCAACCACTGCGCCACCAGGGAAGCCCTAACTACTGATTTTAAACTAGGTTCCCTCACCAGTGAAACCCCCAAAAGGTTTTCCAGGAATGTATTATTTTGACCTTCCATAATAGATAAAATGGGCAGACACCACATTTGAGGATCAAAATATCTGTCCTTTCATTTAGAACTGAGCTTATCATAAGTATCATTTTCACATACTGCCTGTTTATTCACCTCCTTTCCAACTTCAGCTCAATGCAATTTTTCTTCTCGATTCCATCAGAATTGTTCTTGGAAAGAAAAGCAGTAATGTAGTTACTAAACCCACTGGACTATTTTAGTCCTTATTTTATTAACTTGGAAGAAGAGTGTGATTTGGTCTCTGCAGTGAGCCCAGTAACACAGCTTGCCATCTGCCCTAAGAAGAATTCTGCTGGACTGGAACAATTATGGCCTGAAGCCTCCATCACCCTGATCATTGAGCCAAGCCTGATAAAACTCCCTGTTCTCCTTTCAGGACCTCTTCTGGGCAGGGCCAGTACTTTGGATAAGAGTAAGACAGAGCAATGTAAGCTCTGATCCCAGGGTAACCCATCTAAGTTCTGATCCAAGTCAATTTCCTGGGGCACCAGGGGAAGTCCATGGTTCCTTCGGGCCAATTGCTAGAAACATGAAATAACTATATTATTTCATAGAGTCTAGGGCACTTTTTATTTATTTCTTTATTTTTTTTCTCACATTTTAACATCTTTTACAGTCCATAACATTTCAAATCACTGTTAGCCTGGATTGACAGTGACTTCTTACCTGAAAAATTTGACTTTCCAGGGGGTGGGGGGAGATCTTCAAGATGGAGGAGGAGTAAGACGTGGAGATCACCTTCCTCTCCACAAATACATCAGAAATACATCTACATGTGGAACAACCCCTACAGAACACCTACCGAACGCTGGCAGAAGACCTCAGACCTCCCAAAAGGCAAGAAACTCCCCACATACCTGGGTAGGGCAAAAGAAAAAACAGAGAAAAAGAATGGGGACAGGACCTGCACCAGTGGGAGGGAGCCGTGACGGAGGAAAGGTTTCCACACACGAGGAAGCCCCTTTGCGGGCGGAGACTGTGGGTGGCGGAGGGGGGGAAGCTTTGGAGCCACGGAGGAGAGCGCAGCCACAGGGGTGCGGAGGGCAAAGTGGAGAGATTCACGCACAGAGGATTGGTGCTGACCAGCACTCACCAGCCCGAGAGGTTTGTCTGCTCACCCGCGGGGGCAGTTGGGGGCTGGGAGCTGAGGCTTGGGCTTCGGAGATCAGACCCCAGGGGGAGGACTGGGTTGCCTGTAGGAACACAGTCTGAAGGGGGCTAATGCGCCACAGCTAGATGGGAGGGAGTCCGGGATAAAGTCTGGAACTGCCTAAGAGGCAAGAGAACATTGTTCTGGGGTGTGCGACGAGAGGGGATTCAGAGCACTGCCTAAACGAGCTCCAGAGACAGACGCGAGCTGTGGCTATCAGCGTGGACACCAGGGATGGGCATGAAATGCTAAGGCTGCTGCTGAAGCCACCAAGAAGCCTGTGTGCAAGCACAGGTCACTCTCCACACCTCCCCTCCTGGGTGCCTGTGCAGCCTGCCACTGCCAGGGTCCCGTGGTCCAGGGACAACTTCCCCAGGAGAACACACAGCGCGCTTCAGGCTGTTGCAATGTCACATTGGCCTCTGCCGCCACAGGCTCACCCCGCATTATGTAACCCTCCCTCCCCCCAGCCTGAGTGAGCCAGAGCCCCCTAATCAGCTGCTCCTTTAACTCCGTCCTCTCTGAGTGAAGAACAGATGCCCTCAGGTGACCTACATGCAGGGGCAGGGCCAAATCCAAAGCTGAACCCCAGGAGCTGTGCGAACAAAGAAGAGAAAGGGAAATCTCTCCCAGCAGCCTCAGGAGCAGTGAATTAAATCTCCACAGTCAATTTGATGTACCCTGCATCTGAGGAATACCTGAATAGACAACGAATCATCCTCGAACTGAGGCAGTGAATTTTGGGAGCAACCGTAGACATGGGGTTTGCTGTATGCGAATGACCAATTTCTGATTTTTGTGTTTATCTTGGTTTAGTTTTTAGCGCTTGTTATCATTGGTGGATTTGTTTATTGGTTTTGTTGCTCTCTTCTTGGTTTTTCTTTTTTTAAAAATTTTAATAATATTATTAAATTTTTTTTATTTTAATAACTTTTAAATTTTATTTTATGTTTCTTCCTTTCTTTTTTTTCCCTACCTTTTCTTCTGAGCCGTGTAGTGACAGGGTCTCGGTGCTCCGGCCAGGTGTCAGGCCTAAGCCTCTGAGGTGAGAGAGCTGAGTTCAGGACATTGGACCACCAGAGAACTCCTGGCCCCATGTAATATCAGTCGGTGAGAGATCTCCCAGAGATCTCCATCTCAACGCTAAGACCCAGCTCCACTCAACGACCAGCAAGCTCCAGCGCTGGACACGCCATGCCAAGCAACTAGCAAGACAGGAAAACAACCCCACCCATTAGCAGAGAGGCTGCTAAAATCATAATAAGTTCACAGACACCCCAAAACACACCACCGGACGTGGTCCTGCCCACCAGAAACACAAGATCCAGCCTCATCCACCAGAACACAGGCACCATTCCCCTCCACCAGGAAGCCTACACAACCTACTGAACCAAACTTACCCACTGGGGGCACACACCAAAAACAACAGGAACTGTGAAACCGCAGCCTGTGAAAAGGAGACCCTAAACACAGAAAGTTAAGCAAAATGAGAAGACAGAGAAATATGCAGCAGATGAAGGAGCAAAGTAAAAACCCACCAGGCCAAACAAATGAAGAGGAAATAGGCAGTCTACCTGAAAAAGAATTCAGAGTAATGATAGTAAAGATGATCCCAAATCTTGGAAATAGAATGGAGAAAATACAAGAAACATTTAACAAGGACCTAGAGAACGAAAGAGCAAACAAACAATGATGAACAACACAATAAATGAAATTAAAAATTCTCTAGAAGGAATCAATAGCAGAACAACTGAGGCAGAAGCACGGATAAGTGACCTAGGAGGTAAAATAGTGGAAATAACTACCACAGAGCAGAATAAAGAAAAAAGACTGAAAAGAACTGAGGACAGTCTCAGAAACCTCTGAGACAACATTAAACGCACCAACATTCGAATTATAGGGGTCCCAGAAAAAGAAGAGCAAAACAAAGGGACTGAGAAAATATTTGAAGAGGTTAAATTTGAAAACTTCCCTAATATGGGAAAGGAAAGAGTGAATCAAGTCCAGGACTTGCAGAGAATCCCATACAGGATAAATCCAAGGAGAAACACACGAAGACACATATTAATCAAACTACAAAAAATTAAAAACAAAGAAAAAATATTAAAAGCAGCAAGGGAAAAGCAACAAATAACATACAAGGGAATCCCCATAACGTTAACAGCTGATCATTCAGCAGAAACTCTGCAAGCCAGAAGGGAGTGGCAGGACATATTTAAAGTGATGAAAGGGAAAAACCTACAACCGAGATTACTCTGCCCAGCA